ACATGGTAGAGAGATGGGGGTGGAACAATAAACACAATTGGCTACATTTGACGTGTCAGATCAATGTCTTCATTCAAGAATAATTCATCTTAATGATAAAAAAAAGAAATGGGTAATAGTGTGTTTTTGTGTATAATATGCATGCTATACTTGTTGTATCCAAATCCCAGAAGGAAAAAGAATAAGACAAATAAAAAAATAAAACGAAAATATATTTCTTTTTTTCCCCAGGTCAGTTTTGGTTTTAATTCCTGAATTGTATTGCCTACCAGTTAGCCCGTATTAGTTCCTTTCAGGTTAATCTAAGTTCCTTTTAGTTCTAACTCTCTGATCGATGTAAGCCCACTCAGTTCCAAAGTAATGAGACTTTTGCACAGCACTGCATGTATGACATCAAGATATAATTGAAGCCCATTGACCCTGGGAGTTGTCTGGCTTTTTAATGGATAGTTTTAACACCATGTGCAAGTTACATCGGGTGCAGACATTCATATTCCCTCCATGATTCATTGTCTCCACCTTTTAGTTTATACATTTCTTCTGTATACAGCCGAAACCCTGCAAAACAATCCTCATCGGCATCATGTAAACTTTGATTCTAAACAGCGATTGTTGACACGATATTCACACTGTGAAGTACATTTTCAAAAAACAGCTAGCATGGTCACAGAACTACCTTTTGCGCTCTGTGTAAGTCTGATTTTTAAATGAACCAAAATAACAATATTGATTAAATCACACTGGATCCTCTTTGGAACAATGCCGATAAAAGTCATATACATTAACAACAACACAAGGAAATTTAAGGAAGAAAAATAGAAAGTGTGAAAAAAGTGTCCACAGACTCGCTAGACATCAACGTGCACTCTTCTACTGCAAGATGTTTGTGGCTTTTCATGATGTCCATTTCAAATCTCTCTGACTTTGACTGAGTCATTCCACCGAGGATTTGCTAACGTGCGTAGGTTCAGGTATGGCTCTTCAACTGGCCTTTTTCTTTTTTTGCGCTCTCTACTGTGATATGGGATTCATAGATGAGGCTACTTAGTCCTTGAGGAGAGGTACAACAAAACCACAGTGTAACATTTCAACCACCAAGTTTCACAGCTGGTATCAGGTTCTTTTCCTGAAAAGCTGGTTTGCTCGGATCATCCATCAGATCAGCCAAAGACTTTTCGTAGGAAAAGCCTTTGGCCAAGCATGGTCAGATTTGTGTAGCCTCTGTTTCTTGCACTTTGATAGCAGCAGGGGGTTGAGTTACCTGGAGATCCTGTTATGAAATTTGGTGCCTTATAGATTTTTCTTTTCACAAAGTACACATGCAAATCTTTTACATAAATTGTGGATTTTTTTCTCAAGTACTAGTATGAATTCTAGGATATTTTGACAGTTTTTAAAATCCATTACCAGCCTCATAGGCATTCACAAACTTTACTCTGAAGCCCTTGTAGAGCTCTTTAGATCCTGGTTGAATGACACCAGACCCTGGATATCAGAGAGTTAAAAAACAAGACTTCCTGTAAGCAAGAGCGAATCACTGACACGTGTATTTATGTGAGTAAACACTTCTCCAACAGCTTTAAACAGCTACTTGCTTGTTTAAATCTATCGGAAAAAGTCAATTTGAATGTAATTATTACTGTTAGTTTTTAGAAACATCTCCCGGTAGTTTTATTTCTAGAGTCTTTCCCTTCTTTCTCTTCCTACCTTCCCAGGTTTGTTCTGTGTTTTGTGGCTGTCTTTGAATTTCTTGATGATACTTCTCTCTCCAGTTCTTGACACTTTGGAAATGCTTGGATAACTTTGTATATCCATCTCCTGCTCTGTGAGCAACAGCGATCCTTTTTCTCAAGTCTAAAGCGATTTCTTTCGTTTTTGGCACTTGATTTCTCAAGCGACGGCTCAAGCAATTGCTGAAGTTATTATACCGTGTGTAAATTAGAAGGTAACCCTCAGTTTTAATTTGATTTTACAAACTTTGAGCATCACAGTGTTATAACACATTGCACAGCAACGGTTTGTGCAATGGCTCGGTATAAAGGTCAGTTTTTTTATTGATCCTGGTCATTTTTGTTTCTAAACAAAAATCTCCAGGCTGCTTTCTAAAGAAAACTAATATGCTTAGAAATGCTCCAATGAAAATCCCTTGCCCTGTTGAAACGCACTTTGACCCCCTGGAAAGTTTTGTGACAAACCTCACAGCGGGTTAATCGGTTTGTCCTTATTTATAGTTAATCAGGGTAAGTCAGAGTTTTCAAAAGTGTGACACATCTTTTGTTTTATGTACTTTTTCTTTAGGCTTTAGTTTGTACTTTTCCACAGTGTTGTGACCACATATGTATCAATTTACCCTTTAGACATCCACTTACAAAAAAAACACACTGTGTAGCCAGCAGCTACATTCCTGTTTCATTTGTCAGTGAGACTGATCGTGATTGCACCAGTGAAGGCTACAGTTTCATTGAGAATGATTGGCTCTCCCTTAGCCCTCTGCTGTGCATAAGTCAGTCCTGATTCCCATAATGAGCCAGCGAAAGAGATGATAGGCGGGTGGGAGGACACTATTAATCCTCAGTAAGCATGTTGCGTGTCAACCGGCCCTGCTTGGAGATTTACAGGCCTGTAATGGGGGTCACTCTTCCGTCTTCTCCGGGTGGTGCAGGCCTCGACTTCTTTTGCTCTGCCCTGGTCTGGTTAACTATTTGTGGGGGAGGCGGAGGACCCCGAGAGCCTTAAATCTATCTGTTGTCCAATATTAACCACAGCACAAACAGAACAGTGGTAAACAAAAGGAAGAGTAAACACACTCCCCAAGGCCTTTAGGACAAATATGGACAGTTACGTTCACAGCGCACAGTTAGGTACAACTTAAATAAAAGAAGCAAGGTTTGTTTAATCTGAAGGGAAACTTTAAGGAAGATTTCTTTTATTTGAAACGTGAGATTAATGGAAAATGTTTCTTTCGCCCAGTCCAGCTGTTGCACTCTTGTTACACAAACCTCAACATGCAAGGAATAAAGCCATCATCTTTCCCCAGCGTTTTCTGATCTATGACGTCCCAGTCAGGTCCAGCTGTTTGGACACACAGTCCCATCCCTGTCCCTCCTCGGTGTCCCCCCACTTTCCCTTTTGTCTATCCCCCTGGGATGTATAATCCCTCCTCCAGCACATCATCCACCACCGACCAAGAGGATCAGCTGCACTGCTGCTCTCTGCTTTTTAAAAATAGGTTGGGATATCAGCTAAGAGACCTGGACGCATCCTGGGGATTGAGGAATGTCTCCACACTTCCCAGAGCCTTGATATCTGCGAGAATTCTCTGAGTAATTGTCTCTGTGTGTTTCTGGGTGTATGTGTGTGTGTGTATGAAGATAGATCCTGTATTACTAGTTAAAGAGAGAGGATTTTCTGTCCAGATGAGAGAGTGGACCGAGCTGGAGATGAGCTTCACGGCAGGGGGGTTTCTCAGCACCTCAGATGGTTACTGCTCCGCTGAGCAGCTCCAGTACTACGGTGAGTCCACAGTCATGCTCGTGATCCTGCTTCTTTCTCTTTGGTGTCTTCATCTACTTTTACTTCTGTTTTCTCTCCAGCTTCTCTTAAAAGAACCACGAAATTGAAATATTAAACACTGCCTGATGGGATTTTTGATTCTTATTCTAAGCTAAATCTCATTCGTGGGGCATTAATATATCTAAATTGACACTGGAAAAAGGAAAAACTGACTTTAAGCATTTAATACCTTATGCAACTTGGATGTGTGTAGACATTTGCTTTACAAAAAACTCTCTAAATGATCAGTCAGTGCTACTGTAAAGAGCTCAATGGGAAACATCATTTTTCAGAGCCAGTCTCCATATCAACCTGTAATCCACAGAATACACTGTCAGTGTTTGTATTGGGATTATTTCTTCAGGAGAAAGCAGTTACTATGGACACTGTTCACAGGATTTTCTTCTCACCTGAGCAGATGAAATCCAAACAAAGTACAAAATTTAGTGCGACAAGTATTAAGAAGGAAAATGTGGTTTCTGCTGTCACTTCTGCTCTAACCAAATCCCCCTTTGTATAAATTTCAATTTGTACTTTGAGAGGTTCTGAACTTCCTTGAAGGTTTTGGACACTTTAGCATTTTTCAATCTGCTGATCTAAACCTTGCTGGCTTGAAATGAACATTTAAATCAAAGAGAGAGCAGAATTTCACAATTTCTAGGCAGCAAAATGAGCATCCATGCTGCATAAGACACTGGAGACTTGATGACTCTTTTCCTGCTTTATTATGTCTACAGATTTGACACTGTGTACTGGTCACACAGATTGACATTAAGTAAGTGGGTCATAAATAGCTTATATTGTTACACGCTGATATACGACTGCCTTCTGTGTGCGGTGCAGCCTCATTCACTCTGACAGCTGATGAATGAACGCTAAGCCTTTATTTACGGCGTTTGAGAACTCAGTGACATGGAAAAAACAGTTCTTGAGGGGATCAGCCGGCTCACCGCCTTCGCGACATGCAGAGAGGCTGAGCGTGCATCGGAGGATCTATTTATACTGACATGTATCATCAACAAAGTCTCCCTGTTGTCTCCCCTCCTGCCCTTTGGAGAAGAAGAAGGAGGAGGAAGGGAGGAGGAGGGGGAGCTGCGGGGGGTGCTTTGCTGGTGTTGTTTGGCTCCCTAGCGTGCGTGGGATGGAAGGGAGGCTGAGGAGTGTTTAGACAGCGTTCAAATGGTTTACAAACACTGCGAACAGCAGCTCAGTCACACAGTGAGAAAGCAAGGACCACCCCCCCACCAACTCCCCAGTTCCCCCTCCACCCCCCACCAAGCCAACCCATCGCCTAGTCGGGTAAAGACAGGAAACATCTGCAGGGAGAATGAAAGCGAGGAGGGGAAATTAAGCACAGAGAAGAGTTCATTAGTAGGCTTTCAGCTGATCAGAGCAGGGACATTAGTCCACTAAATGTGAGCTGCAGCAGCTCTCAACATGTTCTGTCATTTATCATCAAACACGCTTGTAATTTAGGCTCAGAACTCCTCGGGATGCTTTTGAGGAAGCCTCAGTCACAACTGATGATTGATGACACGCATGGGGTCTCTGAGGAGAAACTGACCACACGCAGGGTGGCGTTTTTATGTTGCTTATTTTTGAGGTCACTAAAAGAGAGAGTTGGGAATAGGAATGGATTTTACATAACCATGATATAACTATTCAGATTTGTCTATTTGCCAAAGATATAAGTTGAATTACTTCCTGAAACAAAGGTAGCTCTAACAATTTTATGTGTGATGATCAATTTACTCAAAATGGGAAGTCAACTCTGAAAATGTGACTCAAGTGGAGTTGCCAGCATGGTTGGGACTGCTCGGCTGTTATCTGACACGCACAGAAAAGGCTCTCATTCATGCAGGCTCTACAGTCACTCTCTGTTTCCTTTCATCCTGTCTTTGTTCTAAACTAACTTAATCTGTTGCCCACTCCATGCATTGTGAAATGGTTTAACACTTGTCAAACCACACTGAGTGTTAAAAGGCAGGATATGGCGACTTTTGCTGCTTTGATTGATTTATTTATTTTTTGAATATTGTCTCCTGGAAATTCCTCTTTATGTGCATGTGCTACAGCACCACTGCAGGATGCCCGATTTTCTGTCAGAGCTCGAAGACGTACCTCACTCTCTGCACAGTACTGTGCAAGTCTCAAGCCATTCTTCATTTGTTTATATTTTGGTCAGAAAAGGGGAAGAAAACATTTGCAGACACATTTAAATACAGTATGTAATGCAGTGTATAAGGCAAAAATAGAGTTTGTACAATTTTGCGTACCTCTAAAGTTAATATTTAGTATGATCATCTTTTGTTCTTTGATGCAGCCTGAACTCTCTTAGGCAGCTTTCTTTAAGTAGACGTCAGTAATAGTTCTCCAAGCTTCTTTGGGGACGTTCAAAGTGCTTTGTTGGATGTTAGCTGCCTTTTGTTCTGTTCTCTGTTAAGGTGATTCCCACACTGCTTCAATAATAGAGATGTCCGGACTTTGGGGACACCGTGACTTATAATGTCCCATTTTATGTTTAAAAAAAAAAATCCCCAATATGCATTTACTTGATTTGGACGAAAATCTGACGATCATTTTTGCTTTCATAATTCCATTCATTTTGAGAAGATATCCAACACAACTGGCTGAAATGCCACCCCAAACCATGACCCAGCCTCCACCATGTTTCACAGATGGCTGTACATACTCACTGTTGTACCTCCCTTCTGACCTCTGAGGTATACTCTTTTTTTCTGCTCCACTTGGCCAGTTCCATATTTTTAAGGGCACCCTGCATGCATCATGCCATAATATGCTACTTTTTCAGCTAACAGCTCTTTGGGAATCACCTTGTTGGACAGTTATTGTAGATTTTGTAGATTTTTGTGAAAGGCTGCTCTTAAAAATCGGTTATTTGCTAAATGGTCTGTTATGTGTAGAAACAAGTTTGGTTGATTCCTTGAGGAAGGTGCTTTTTTATGCTTGAATGCTTTATAAGTCAGTGTATTTGGCTTTGCAATTGAAGAAAAAACAATGCAGTTACTGGACTGAAAATGAGTGAAAAAGCAGCCAATATCCAAAGCACTTTGAAAGACTTAGAAAGCCTTTAGAGCTATTGGCTAAGGCCACTTTAATACAATTACAAGCAAAATGTAGAGAAATGAGGTGTGGCTCAAGACTTCTGCATAGTACTGTATATAGTGATACACATTTTACTACTATATACTGTATACACATGTCTGTGAAGGTTCTCAGTCATCTAGGTCATTGTAGTCTAAGGAGCTTGGAAAGAAAAGCGTCTGGACTTCTTTAAGTTGCTTGAAGACGTTTCACCTCTCATCCGAGAAGCTTCTTCAGACGCCTTAACGCCCACTCACATCCTGGGCCTTCTGGACCTCAGGAAATCACATGATAGGGTGGGGCTAGGTTTCACAATGAGTTCACCCAAAACTTTGGCTGAATGTGACCTACACCTGTTTTCACACCTTGGCTCACGTGATTAGGTAGAGGATCATTAGGGGGGTCCATTGTCCCTCTTAGGGGGACACTCCCACAGGGCTCTTCACTATTTGATCTTAGAACTGAAGAAGCTTCTCAGATGAGAGGTGAAACGTCTTCAAGCAACTTAAAGAAGTCCAGACGCTTTTCTTTCCAAGCTCCTTAGACTACGATGACCTGGATGACTGAGAACCTTCACAGACATATGTTCATATAGTAGTAAAATTACTATATATACATATACTCATTTTACTTTCATGTGTACATATACACGGTTTACACACATTAAAATCAATGAACTAGTCCTTCCTAATCTTCATCCAACATGTTTTAGCCCGAAAGTTCCCATTTCCTGAAACTCCTGAAGGTTGGGTGGGCTCTCTGTTTAATCAGTGCATAACAGATCCCACAGCAGTCCCAGTCGAACAGTCCAGCTGTACTTTAAGAGGCTGCCAGTGGTCACACATGTTTTCTCAGTGGAGTCAGTGCTTGCAAAACACAAGCAGCTGACCCACACTCTGACATGTTTTAGGTCATCCCAACAACGAACTGAATGAATGATGGACTAAATGAAGAATCCAGAAAAAGGGGATAAAAAATAAAAGAAAAATAATAATAAAAAGAAAAATCCTAAATGGCACTGGGAGTTCTCAGCTGCATCCTGTTTCAGCAGTCTGAACAAGTTCACAGGGTCTCACTCTCAGCTTTTTATTGTATCCCATAAGAGCCATTAAAGCAGTCACGACTCACGTAAATTCACATTCCTCTGAACGCTTTTTGACTTCGACCAGCGTCACAGAGTTTCCTTAAACGTTCATTCATGTTTCAGTCACGCTAGTGTAATCACTTATTCCCTGTAGGTTAGATGCTGTATGTGTGTGAAAGATTTACAATACTGACAAGATTTTCAATTTGGAAAGAATATTTGCTACACCTAAAGTCATAAATCTTACACCATGGCACTTGAGCGCTATTTAAGTGGATCACAGCCTGATGTAATCATAACAATATCCTACATACAGTCAGGAGGCTGTAGTGACATAAGGAGATGCTAGGGATGGTCCAATGTGGTGACGCAGGAAGGAAAGAAGAAGAAGAAGGAAAAAAAAATGATGGAGTGTTATGAATTGTGAGGACAGGTTGCAGCACAGGTGTGTGATACTATAAGATTACCTTAAGCATGATCCTGTATTTCACTTAAAACCAGCTGCTTGTCTCTCATCATTTCATCATCGTGACTCCAGATAAAAGTTCATTTGCTCCTGGTTAAAGATAGCGATCTTTAAAATGGGTGATCTATGTTAGCTCAGTTTGTATAACGCCAATTCCAAAAAAGTTAGAAATCAATAAAAATGCAATGCAATCCTTTGAAAATCTCATAAACTGTTATTCTATTTACACTAGAACACAGAAAACATATTCAAAGTTTAAACTGAGAAAAATAACCATTTTAGGGAAAATATGATCTCATTTTGAAAATGATGGCAGCAACATGTGTCAGTGGGATTGGGTCAACAAAAGTATGTGGTAGGGCTGTGCCATATGACCAAAATTTCATATCCCGATATAAGAATTGTATCGTCCCGATAACGATATAAATCACAAAAATGTAACATTTTCTGTAAATTCTGTGAATCTTGGGCAGTTCGTCTTGAGTTGAGTGTTTTAACCGATGCATGAAACGATACATTTTTAGACATAAGTTGTAACAGCCGCCGTTTTCTTTGTGAGTATTTATTACACGGCGTGTAATAAATACAGGAAAAGCCTGTTCTAACGTTTGAGTCTAAGGTTTATTTTTTAGCACCTGGTGGCTCTTTTTTAATTCTCATCCGTAAATAATCTGCTCTTTCACGTGATTCAGTTTATTTTGAAAAGTCACAACAGGATCTTGAGCTTTAATGTGAAAAGTTTATGTGGAACATAAACAAGCGGACACGCGATGGTGTTACCGTGGTTGTTGCTAACCAAAAGCATAAAACCAAATGCATAAAAACAGGCGTGGTTATATTAAATATAAGAGAAAGAGAGAACTTTAATAAATTAATGTAGGCACTACAGTGACCATCAATACGATGAAAAAATATTGCCGTAAAGAGTTTATTTTGCGACACCACGAAACAAACGATAGCGTAAAATGAAACGATAGACGTTTTTATATCGTCATCCGATATATATCGTTATATCGAACAGCCCTAGTATGTGGTACTAAAATGAAACGGCTGGAGGCTAATTTGGTTAACTGGCAACAAGTCAGTAACATGACTGGGTATAAAACGTGAATCTCAGAGTGGGAGAGTTGTACAAAAAACTGCATCTATAAATCTATATGTACCAGCAACATAAAACTGGTAAAAACTCTGAATATCTAATCATCTTCAGTACATGTTATCATCAAAGGATTCACAGAATTTGGAGAAATCTCTGAGCACAAGGGACAGTCAGCGTTGGGTGGTTATGGTCTTCGGCCATAACAGGCGCAATGCCTGTGAAGAAAACTTACTGTGCCATCCACAAATGGAGGTTAAAGCTCTGTGATGCGAAGCAGAAGCAACATGTGAACGGGATTCAGAGAGTCTGCCGTCTTCTTTGGGTTGAAGCTTGTTTAAAATGAACTGAGGCAAAGAGCAAAACTCCTTTTCTGGAAATTTGCATAATGAAAAAAAAACCACAACAACATAGGCGTAAATGAGGCTCTGTCCCAACTTGTTTTAAGAGGTGTTGGTGCCATTCAAAAAGATTTTATTCTTTTCTTTACTTTTGATGTTTTCTGTGTTCTGCTGTGAATACAACATTAGTGTATGAGTTTTGCAGATCAATGCATTCTGTTTTTATCTCCATTTTACACAGTGTCCAACTTTTATTGGATTTGGGATTCTTACAAAAGGTTCAGTGATTTGTCACAGCTGCTGAGCACTGCAGCTTTTAGCAAATGCTACTCCAACTGGAATAAATGGTTCATCTCCTGGTGGATAATTCTTTAACTGTGGATTAATAGAGGTTTTACTCCAGTGACCATTTCCTTTAAATGTCATGTTTTATACTTGAATCGTTTCTCACAGTTTAGCACAACCAAGGGAATGAAAATCTGAATACAAATTTTGTATGTATGGAGACAGGGTGGGTTTAAACTGCAAGGCCACATCAAAAAGTCAGCTGTCCGAGTAATGTATTTCAAGGAAACCTCATTGTGTTCATTTCAAGCTCCATATTTCCGTTATTGGACTCTATTAGAGAAGCTTTGAATCACACTTGCCTTATACTTACTTATACTGTCTGAAACAAGCCACCCTTCCTCCAGTCAGCTTTCCTCTAACTGGCCAACCTTGACAAACAGAAAGCAGAGCTGCTCTGTTCACACGTGGACCTATGACTTATGTGATCCTACATCAGTGTCATCTCTCATCAACATACAGAGCCAGTTAAAACTTTTGACCCTGGACTTTGATTTCAGATATGCTGGCTGACCCCCTGGGCTATCCCCTGCAGGACCCTGACCTCCAGCTCCTCCCATACAGCCAACAACAGTATAGTCCTGCCAACCTGCCCTTCTCCCACTATGGTTCTCCACCCTCCTCTGCCCCCTCTCCCTCCTCCTCCTCCTCTTCCTCTCAGCTCTGCAACCCACCATACCATTACAGCCCTCACTGCTTGGAGGCCCCTTGCGATCCGAGCCCCGAGCCCCACTGTGGGGGCCTCTTTGCTCAGGGCCTCGGATCTGTAGGACTGCCAATGGGGCGGAGGTCCCGGATGGGCTCGGGTGGAAAGAGCAGAGGTCAGGATGAGCTGTGTGTGGTGTGTGGTGATAAAGCATCAGGATACCACTACAATGCTCTTACCTGCGAGGGATGCAAAGGTATTTATTTGATTGCTTGCTGATCTTCATATTTTTCTACTTCTTAGCATCAGCGCGTCATGTTTTACCTTTCACTACAGGATTCTTCAGACGCAGTGTCACCAAGAAAGCTGTGTATCACTGTAAGAGTGGCGGTAGCTGTGAGATGGATATGTACATGAGGAGGAAGTGTCAAGACTGCCGTCTGAGGAAGTGCCGAGCTGTGGGAATGCTGGCTGAATGTAAGGCTCAAATACAAGAAACTGATTGACTGAGGTTGTAATGTAATCAGAGAAATGATTAGTGAGATTCCAAAAAACAAATATGTCACTTTGTGGTTGTGCAGAAAATAATACTTTTTACCCTCTCTTCAGGTCTGTTGACTGAGGTGCAGTGCCAATCCAAACGCCTGAGGAAAGGAGGTAAAAGCAGAGGGCAAGAGGAAGAGGAGAACACAGACACCAGGAGAGTCAGCTCTACCAGCAGGCTACCCGGACAGGTGCGGCACACCTGTGCTCGATTGGATACTTTCCTAACTTCAGAGTTCGAGGTTCAAGATTATTGTGCCACATGGGCTAAACAAATTCAGCATAGCAGCAAGAGTTCACATAAAACACAATATACAGGAACAACTTTAACAGCACCAATATGGGTGAATTATACAAATGATTACATGGTATGCTAATTCATAAGGAAATGAAAGTGCCAGAGTAGTGCACAGTGATAATGAAGTTTATTTAAAGCCTGGAAGGAAAGCTGGCAAAATCTTAATAGACTTATCAGTATAACTGTCTCCTGATTAAGGCACTAGCTCAGACTCCAACTACAGCATTTTGTTAAACCCATGAATTGCAGAGTAGGTGCTCTTATGCTCGGTGGAAAATGTCTTATTCTTTCTCCTGCTACCCCAGTACTGTTTAAGTGCCCAAGAACAAAACAGACCAAATTAAAAACATAATTTAGATCTGTAAGGAGACTTGTTCTAGGAATATATTGCTCGATTAAGGCTTATAGAAGCATCAAATTGCCTTAAAATTGCATGCTGCCAGTGGTAAACAAAACAAAACAAAGAACAACCTAAAATTGCTCCTAAGAATCTATAATTCTTACTTTTGCTCACCAGGCACAGTCTCTAAATCTATAGATTGTCTTGCTATCTGCATCCTGAGATCTGAGGGATCACCCAGGAAGGGTGACACTATTCTCCCCAGCTATTCTAACCTCCTGCATGTAGTACAAGACCTGAAAACCCAGAATTAAACCATAAGTTAATTTTGCTAAGGCTCAGATTGTGTAGTGGTGCAATCCTTCGGTGTCCTTAAGCTATGCTAACTCAACTTTCTATGCCATTAGCTCTCCTGAGGACCTGCTAGCCTTTTTTTCTTCTTCTGCCTGTCCCGTTTGTTCTTTAGCCATCAGAATTATTGTCTGAAGGCCAAGAAAAATACCCAACGGATTTACTTTACCAAGTGGATCATCACGGCCTTGCCGTATTGGTCCATTCGATCGACTTTTGTTATTATTATTTATTTTATTTCATTTTATTTTCAGTTGTTACACATGGGACAGACATGGGGGATAGGAAAGGGAGAAAGAAAGAAAGAGAGGGAAGGAAAGAAAAACAGAGGGGAAGAGGGAGTGTGAGAAAGGGCACTTAAAAAGAAAAAATCTCCTGGATCACCTGTTGAGAGAAGAAAAAAGAAAAAAAAAAAGGCCCATAGAAAATAGGTCTTCCCTGGATCCGGCATCAAGCTGGCACTTCTGATTGACTGGTGTCATGGCAGGGTGTATGTCAACCAGATGTGGGCCAGGTCTGGCAATGATGGCACTATTTATGTTCCTATTTTCCTATTTTAGTTAGAAGACCCAAATGCCATGTTGCAATACTACGCTATGGTAGCTAATGTTTCAAATGCATGTTTGACAGGTTTGTGAGTGTACACTTTATCCAAAACCTAGTGACGGTTTACTCATCTTTGCCAGTGGGTGGCTGTAGCTCAGGAGGTAGAGCAGGCCACCTGCTGATCGGAAGGTTAGTGGTCCCTCCATCCCTGGCTCCTCCAGTCTGCATGTCAAGAGTGTAAATGTGAATGTGTATGAATGTAGTTAGGATGCACTCAGTTTAGAGAAAGTGTGTGATTGGGTGAAGCAGCCACGGAGCAGAAGCCAGAGGGGGCTGCAGTGATGTGCCTGCGGGCTCTGCCGGCACTCAGCTGCGCCAGAGTTAACCGAGCCACAGGCCCAGATGCCAGTGGCCTGAGGGCCCCCAACCCCCCAGAAGGGGCTCCCAGGGCACCAGACCCCGCCAAGGAGCCAATGGGAGTGAACCGGTTGCTATTTACAAAAAGGCCATCCAGCCTTTTTGTAAATAACAAAAAGGTTGCTCTGATTCCTGTTGAACATCTTACTGGCTGTTCTGACAAGACTTCCAAGTCCACCTGATGTTTTTAAAGCTTCTGAAACAAGCAGCAATGCAAAATGGTCATGTGAAACTAAAAAAAAGAGGCACTGTCTCAGAGAAATAAACCTGCTCAGATTTCACTATGCTTAGTGGAAAAAGATGATTTGCTGGACCTTTTAACATGGTGCTCATTAACAAAGCATAATATTGGGGGGACTAGCGCTGGATTTTTTGGTATTGGTAACACTTTATAATACAGCCAGTGACTAAGGGTGCAGTTCCCTGAGAGTTAAAATGTTCTTCTTTCTTGTGAAAACTTGAATTGTTACCTCCTCATTCTGATGTATCTACTGGGAAGCATTTGTAGATACACATTGTTACATTGTAATTTCAGGTAAAACACATTGAAACTCTCCTGAATTCTTTGGTAATTACACCCTTAGTCACAGGCCACATTATAAAGTGCTGCCTTTATATTTAGGTGACTTAAAACATGAGCCTCAAATTCAACCACCACCAGCCCAGCAGCTGCCGAAGGCCTTCTAATGAACGAATCATAGCAAACTGTTGCCATGGCAACTGCTGGTGTTCAAGCGTCAGCCTGATGGTCAGTCGCACCACTTTGGTTCATACTGAAATAGTATATATAGGATATAATAAATATAATCGCATTTACTTGTATTTATTCGGTTATTTAGTCAATGATTTCTGGTTGCATTGCTATTTCAATATTTTTTTCAAACCCAGAAAGGCTGAAATATCACAGACTCTTCCTCTGCTGCCACCAGGAGGTTCAAACAGGCATTAGACGGACTGAAATAAAACGTGTTCCAGCTATTCACACAGCTCTCAGTATCAGCTTTAAAAGTCTTAGGCTCCCCTCATTATTAATCTAAACCGTGTCTAGTCTCTCACTCTGTAATCATGAGTGCTTCTTTGCAAATCTGTGTGCTGTGCTCATTTCCATCTGCACCAGGCTTTGTCTGCCAGTTTAACCCGAGAACAGAAATACATCGTGGACAGGATGGTGGAGGCCCATAGGCTCTACAGAGGTCAGGACAGTAACAATTTTAGGGTAGGTTCCAGTCCAGAAACATACAGGGCAAAAATAGATTTCTTGTTCTCATCTTGCTTTTGTTGTGTGTGCCTTCAGGCATTCGAGTGGCTGTGTCCAGAAGAAGTGGAAGGCCTGTCTGATGTAGTATCACCCCGCCTACAAAGGCTGCTGCAGTTTGCCAGGACAGTGCCAGGTGAGATGAAAGAGGGAAGGTTTCAGCTTTATAATGTATTTGCTTGAAAAAGAAGCAGGATAAGAGGATCAGAGGGGAGATGTTCTCCCATTCAAATGAGACAAAAAAAATACAAGCTTCAAGAAAGTTTCCAGAATCTTATTACCTACAGTCTCTTCTCAGTCCTCAAAATTGAATCAGTATGTTTCTGCTGGCACAAGAGATACTGGTTGAAGAAATCTCTGCTTTCTCTTGAATATAATAGAAGTAAATGAAACTTTCCTGCTGGTGCTTTGCAGCAGTATGGCTTTCCAGAAATCATGATCCAGTTTCTTAAAAAAATAAATAAATAAAAATCCATAGAGCTTATTGTTAGTGGTTTCGTGTTGGATCTATTTTCTTTATACTATCTACATCCGCCAACCAAACGAAACCCATAGCGCGCTAATCTCACAGCTCAGTTGAAAGAAGGATG